CTGGACTCGCTCCAACAGGTCCATGTCCTTCTTGTGTTGGGGGCCCCAGAGCTGAAGGTAGGACTGCAGGGGGAGTCTGACCAGAGCGGAGTAGAGGGGGAGAATCGCCTCCCTCGACCTACTGGTCATGCTGCTTTTGATGCAGCCCAGGGTACAGTTGGCTTTCTGGGCTGCAGGCGCACGTTGCCAGGTCATGGCCAATTTTTTGTTTACCGACACCCCCATGTCCTTCTCCACAGGGCTGCTCTCAATCCATTCATCCCACAGTCTGTATTGATATCGGAGATCGCCCTGACCCATCTGCAGGGCCTTGTACTTGGCCTTGTTGAACTTCGTGAGGTTCGCAAGAGCACACCTCTCAGGCCTGTCAAGGTCCCTCTGGATGGCATCCCTTCCCTCCAGCGTGTTGCCTGCAGCACCACCATTTTCTCTAGAAGAAAGACTGACCCTCCAGCATCAAAATATTCTCCTGTTACATGGCTCTCTGATGAGTGGTTTTAATTTGGCATTTGAAACAACTCATTTTAATTTCTGGTGGAAAAATAATGTCAGATTTGCACTAATTTAGGTTTGGAACAATAAGATTTAAAATTGGCATTGATTTGTACGTTTGTATAGACATACATTCCAAGTTAGAAATAAACCACACACCGAAATGTGTGTTAATAAACCAAACACACAGCCTGAAATCTTCCAACTGACTCTACCAACAATACAAAAAACCCTCAACACGTTTCAGAGCTGGTGGGGACCATTCAGCCAAGTCGTGCTGCGCTGGGGCTGCGGGGCCATGCCTGCCCAGCAGGTCCGGGGCAGACGTGGCGGTGCATGAATCGCACACGTCTGCAGGCATCCAGCCCAGCATCTGCCCGTTCCCACCGTGGGCTCGCTCCCACCACCCTCCTAGTCTGGGATCCTGGAGACTCCAATAGGAATTCTTACTCTTTTTTCAGCCTTTAGTAGTAAGTGATATAGTCTATACGTGATTGACTACTTCAAAGGGACTTTTTAATAATTTTTCTGGTCTTTAATGTCCTTTTTGAGGCTCCTTCAGCTTTTAAACACTTATGTGTGTTGGACAGCATTGCTTGTATTCCCAGGCCACTGGTGCCTTGGATCGCTGGGCAGTGCCAGCTCTCCAGCTCTGCCGCAGGCTTTGGAGAGGCTTTCACTAAATCCCCTGCCATCTCTGCAACAGCCAGCTGTGACCATGACACAGACCTTCCTCTTTTTTGAGGGCAACAGTCTCACATCGCTCAGGCTGAGTAAGCTAATCAATAACACTGCAGCAAGGGCATCTGTCATCAAAACGCAAGCGAGCTTTAAATAAAGCAATAAAAATCTTTCTAGGAAATCAGCACAGAGAGGAAACCAGGGTGATGCTGGTAATTGTCCCCACTGGGGAGGTGCTACAGGCAGTTTGACATCACAGCCCGCCTCCAACATGCTCTGCTCTCTTTTTGCTTCTCTTTTCCCCCAGAAATACATCATTTACCTGCACCATGACAGGCGACTGCTCTTCTGGTAGGCGCTGTCTCCCTCACACACACAGGCACTCCCCTTCCCCCAGACAGGGGATGCTGAAGTCAGGCTCTCAGCTGCCTGCCTTGCCCAAGCGTGACCCAGGGGATCATCAGCTCCATCCACCATCTCCATCTCTCTGCCGTTACGGGGAGATGCCAAACTTACCCTGAGGAGCCAGAGCCATTGCGCCCATAGCCTCCCCATGAGCCGGGGAGCTGGGAGAGGGGTCTGGCTTCCCCCGTGTGCACCTCGCATGGCGAGCTCGGGCTCTGCAGCACTTGCCCACACAGCTCCTATGAGCAAGTCCTTTGCTGTGTTCACATCAGGAGGCTGGTATTGTTCAGTGTGGTCCTAACCAAAAGAAAAGGAAGAATCTGGAAATGTCTGGGCACGGAGATCTTTCTGGGGAACCTAGCCCCCAGCCATCATTAACTAGAGCAGAATAACATAAAGAGTTTTTTTTTTAAAATTATTGAAATGATTCTTAAAAATGCTGTTTATTCAGAGTTTGCCAGTAGCAGCTCATTCAGAGCTACCAAGAGCCGTTATTTAAGTGCAGACTTTGTCCTTGTACATTCTTAAACTACAGTTTAGATAACTGCTTTAGCATAAAGAGATACTCAGCAAGTCCCAATGCAAACTTTGGTAATGACCAAATTTTTTCCTGATGAGCCTGAACAGTTCCCTTAGCTGTAATATCACAGACTGCGTTAACGAACGCATCCCCGAGCACCAGGACCAGAGCACACAGCAGCTCCTTCCCTGGAGTTGTACTGTGTCAGGATGCAGCCGCCTGCCATTCTGGGTACAGCTCCGTGTCCTCACGCTGTCTCCAAAATGGCTTACATCCCTTTACAGAAAATAGTCGTTACTGGAAGAGCAGAGTTTTGTTTTTTTTGTGGGTTTTTTTTTTTTTTTTTTTTTTTTTCCTGTTAGCAAGCGTACAAATGTCACCAAACCTATCTACATCTTTCAGGGAAGACAAACAGACTCTCTTCACATTGTTCTCTTAATGTTTTTGAAAGAGCATAGACTGAAACATTTGTCAACAGGAGGGTCATCTGGGCTGTATGAAATTCATTATTGTATTAATTAAAAATTATCACTGCTCCATCCCTGATAGATATCTGGTTTCTATCAGAATAAAACAGCAACTCCTCAGCTCAGAAACTCCTTTTTAAAGTATGCAGAGTGCACGCAACAAACATGAGCTCTTGTTTTCTACATCCATCTCCAAATTAAACAGTATCACTTCTTACCGCATACAGAAGAAATGAAATGTGAGCAGACTGTAAAAAACCCAAACACTTCATTTGTCGTGGTGCTTCACACTCTTCCAGAAGGCTGGAGGGAGGCAGCCCGGCAGGGTGAGGTGCCTTGGCCAGAGGTTGCAATGGTGGTTGAGCTAGAAACGCAATGCACACCCTGTACCTAACCTGCCGCTTCTGACAGGTGCTACCTAAGTGCAAAGAAATTTAGGAAACTTGGGAAATGATAAAGGATAAGGTTGAACATTAAGAAGATCTCTGGCAAATAAAAAAAAAAAAAAAGAGGCTTTTTTTTTTTTTCCCTCTATCTAAAACCTTTCTTACATCGTTATTTCAGAAACATACCTGCACCAACATATGTCAATATACTTTTAACATTGTT